TAGTCATAAATTCTGAAAATATGAATATTAGAGACAATAGTTTACAAACCTTGTCTTGATGGTGTATATCGGCACCATGTTTCAATAATAATGTAATTACGTCACAACTGTTATTCTCTGCAGCATACATCAATGCAGTCATCTGACCCTATGAATGTGATAGAGAATACATGTAAGAATGTCAACACATTGACAGATAACTCGGATGTAATAATCATACATTCTGAAAATATGAATATTAGTGACAAATGTAGTTTACAAACCATGTCTTGATGGTGTATATCGGCACCATGTTTCAATAATAATGTAATTACGTCACAACTGTTTTTACTTGCAGCATACATCAACGCAGTCTTCTGATACTGTGAATGTGATATAGAAAATACATGTAAAAATATCAACACACTGACAGATAACTCGGATATAATAATCATACATTCTGAAAATATGAATATTAGTGACAAATGTAGTTTACAAACCATGTCTTGATGGTGTATATCGGCACCATGTTTCAATAATAATGTAATTGCGTCACAACTGTTATTCACTGCAGCATACATCAATGCAGTCATCTGACCCTATGAATGTGATAGAGAATACATGTAAGAATGTCAACACATTGACAGATAACTCGGATATAATAATCATAGAATCTGAAAATATGAATATTAGTGACAATCGTAGTTTACAAACCATGTTTTGATGGTGTATATCGGCACCATGTTTCAATAATAATGTAATTGCGTCACAACTGTTATTCACTGCAGCATACATCAATGCAGTCATCTGATACTGTGAATGTGATAGAGAATACATGTAAGAATGTCAACACATTGACAGATAACTCGGATGTAATAATCATACATTCTGAAAATATGAATATTAGTGACAATCGTAGTTTACAAACCTTGTCTTGATGGTGTATATCGGCACCATGTTTCAATAATAATGTAATTGCGTCACAACTGTTATTCTCTGCAGCATACATCAATGCAGTCCTCTGACCCTATGAATGTGATAGAGAATACATGCAAGAATGTCAACATATTGACAGATAACTCGGATATAATAATCATAGAATCTGAAAATATGAATATTAGTGACAATCGTAGTTTACAAACCATGTTTTGATGGTGTATATCGGCACCATGTTTCAATAATGTAATTGCGTCACAACTGTTTTTACTTGCAGCATACATCAACGCAGTCTTCTGATACTGTGAATGTGATATAGAAAATACATGTAAA